AGGGAAAACCATAGAGTTTTCCCTTGTATGGCCATGGCCCCGCCCCCAGCATGCCCGCGTCACTTCCGGGTGACGCGCACGTCGGGGTGGAGTTCCCCCCGGGGCCCAATCTGGCACCGCTGGGGAATGGGCCTCTGGGGCGGGGGTTTCCCCGACCCCCAGGAGGACTTGAGATCCCTATCACCATAAGTCAACTGCAGCTTGGTGGCACACACACAGAGGGAGTAACTAATTACTCTGGGGCCCTGAAGATTCATTCATGTCATGCCAAATCATGGGGCTGGATCCAGACTGAACTGACAGTTTCCACTGATTTGCCCTTCTCAGTGCAGAACACATACCCCTGCTGTACCCGAGGCTGCCTCTCCCGACCCCCAACTGAGCAGCATTTATCAGGGGGCTGTAGCAGGAGGGAGGAGGTGGGAAAGTTTTCGCTCCAAGAAGAAGTGGGGTCACACCATGGCCTGGAAGTCCAATTTATAAAAGGAATGGTGGAGGCTCCAGCTTTTAACAGGCAAAAATAAGATCTTCTTTCCCCGCTCATAGTTTTTCGGAGTAATGGACATAAGAACTATTGTCTTTTTAATGTTAATATTTACTAATTAAAGAATACGAGTTGGAATTGAGATGTGAAACTTTTTTTAAAATGTAAAGCTTTCTAGAATGCTCAGAGAAAGATGTCTCCCATTTTCTGAGGTTGTTCCTATTCTTTGAAGTAGTGCGCCTTTGCGTGTAGTTCTCTTAATTTAGCTGTTTCCCGAAATGTGAGATTTGATTTTATGCATGAGTCGCTAGATCCGCAGCTGAATTTATAAGGAGAGTTAAATATTTAATGTATGTGGCAGGAGAAAATGTGTAAGCACTCCAGCATTAATTAGCTGTAGATGGATGCTAGTAATAGCATTACGCCGACAGCATTTCTAGGCAGTGTTATGGGTTCCATTTTCCTTGCTGGATTTCCCAGAAGCCTACGGTCCCTGAGCGAAATCTTCAGAAATCCTGAATGACAAAATTAGTCCTCCTCGCAGAGCACAGAAATAATCTTTTTATAAATTGCTCATGTTATGGTAAAAGGTATCGTAGTAGTAAAAATACTTTGCGTTTCTATGGTCCTTAAGAGTGTTTCAAAGCGTTTCACATACAATAGCGCAGTAATCGTTACAATGACTCTGTAAGGCAAGACAATAATATTATCCCAAACTTGTTGAGCAGAGTGCTGAGTCTTAAATGGTGCTTTCCCTAAGCCTGCTTTGTGAATTCAAGGACGAGGCAAAACTGGCACCAGGGATTTCCTGGCTCAGTTTTAGTAGCGGCAGTTACTTGATGGAAGTATGTGTGCTGTGAAAGCAGAGTAAAGTCCTTCCAAGAGTTTTTGACTGCCTGCCTCTTTCTGGGCACAACTGAAGGTGCTGATAAGGCCCAATCCTGTTCTTCTCTCCAGAAATGGTGACTGTGTTATGCCCCGTTGCAAAGTCTTGCCCCTCATCTTGTTTCTGGTGCTTGAAAATGGGGATGGATACAGGCTCAGTGGTTTTGCAAGCTCCCCTTGTTTGTTGACCTGACAGAACTAGAAAATATATGAAATTCAAAGGCACTCGAATGAATTCTTCCTCTTCTTCCTCCTCTTCCTTTGTTGAGTGCCTGACCCTGGGTGTACTGTTTCGTCTGGAGTGCACATTTGTGCATTCAGAAAGCACCACCACAGCTGAAGTGGATCCATCTCTCTTTCAGATATTATTCAATGAAGAATTTGAGAGTCCCTTTGTGATAGTCCACAGCGTCTCCTTTGTGAAGGCCGATTCACATTCTGTAGGTGTACTACTCCTGCGAGTGGAGAAGGACGAGTTGGACGTGCATGGCAGCGGCTTCCACGTTTCACTGGAGTGGGTTACAATTAGGGAAGCGGCCAAAGAGGGTGAGTCGTCTACGGATTTTGGTTCTGCATATGTGAAAGGGATGCTATGGTGACCAGCTGCTGATGCAGTTCTGAAGTTGCCGTTCCAGTTGTTCAGTGAAGGATCCAGAATCCTGGGGTCTTGTAGCATTGGTAGTGAAAGGTAAATATGTATGTTTTGAGATTCCTGGAGCTTGCTAAAACCTTGAGGAGAGGCAGCGACCCTAAGCATAATCAATTCAGAAGCCTTACAGGCTTACTTCTGAGAAGCCATTATTAGGAAGAGGCCAGATGCCGTGAAAACGTGACTGCTGTGTGGTTGTGCCTCATCAGAATTTCTCAAGAGTAGCCACACCAAAGGTGCAATGAGCGTGCATGTGAAGATCTGCTGAAAATGAACCTTAAAGGGTATACACAGGGCTGCTACCTGTCCCTGCATTACTTTCTCTCATTTTCCCCGTAGTATAGTCCCTGCATTACTTTCTCTCATTTTCCCTGTGGTATATGATATGAGTTGTCATGGTTGGAGGGTTCTCCCACCATTCCATTTCACAGATTATCACCTACAGGGGTAGGGAACTTCTCAACATCAGTGCTGAGAGACAGAGAACAAGCTGGCCCAGGGGAACTTCGTGTCTGCAGCATTAAGAGTTGATTTATTAGGAGGTGTTCCAACCTGTCTTACTGGGGTGATTTGTTATTTACAATGCGATCTGAAGAAAAAAACAGAGTTGTTCAGTTTTTGTAATTCTGAATCGTTACTAAGAAAGTGATGGCCTTTGGCGAATAATAAACATTTGCATTTTATTAAAATATTTATGCCTTTCCTCTTTGCTCAAGGAGGGTAAAATGTTCATCCCAACTTAAAAACAAAATAAGCATGTAGGTCTTAGCAGCTGGTAATGGTTGGAGAGTAAAACAACTTTCTTTTATTTTTATTTTTTTTAAAAAGAGAACATCGTGTTTTAAGGTTGGAAGGCTTGGGAAATAACAGTTTGGAACACGTTGGGGTGTCTGGGATGATAGACAAAAGGTTCACATGAGTAAAATTGATTTTTGGGTTTCTCACCTTAATCAGTATATCTTGTGGGATCCAGAATCTGACACCTTGGGAGCGTGGGGGATTTTGAGAAATTGTGTTTTAACTTTTCTGCCTTTAGGGCAAATCAATAATCTGCCTCTGTGCAAGTATTGTGTCTGTGTGTGGTGATCTGTGATGGACACTTATTTGCTTTTTTTAAAGAAAAATCCTTTTTTAAGATTTGTGTTTTTAAATTTTTTATACCTCTCTGGTCACAGTCCTGCATGCACCTACTGGGGAGTAAATGCATAGGATTGGGCTGCATAACTCCGCTTGCATACTGCTTTTACTGATAATGGAATATGACTGTTACTGTTCGTCTCTTTTCTTCCATTTTCATGTAAGTGTTTTCAAAACTAAAGTACTCGCAGTCCCTTACAGAAAAGGAAGGACAATATGTATATATCTTAATGTTACTTACACAATTTTTAGTCCTTGACATGTGTTCAGAGAGAGAAAGAAGCTGGCTTTGTAAGTGTCACAAGTGATGGCCAATCAGTGCTGTGCATGGGAAGCTTCTAGGGCAGACTGGAAGAACTGGATCCTCTCCTCCCCAAGCCCACACCAGACAAGAAGGCCATGTGTGTGCCTAAATAGCAGTGAGTCAGATTCATGTTCATAGCTGAAGCTGTGCATCTTTACCCACAAGAAGAGCCCTGCTGGATCCGACCAGTGATCCATCTAGTCCAGCATCCTGTTTCACACAGTTGCTGGCTAGTTGCCGTGGAGGGCCAACATACAGGCCATAGAGGCTGAGCCCGTCCCATAATGTTGCTTCCTAGCAGTGGTATTCAGAGGCTCAGTGCCTCTGCCTGTAGAGGTTCTCTGTAGTCAACATGGCTAGTTGCCACTGATTGACCTCTCCTTGCATGGATCTGTCCTTACCCCTAGTTTATAGAAATCAAACTACTATCAGAAATAAGCTTGTTACAAGATTGCGGCTCTCTGCTGAAGCCAGCCTGCCCCCAGTGACATTTTTCCTCCCAGTATCTCCTCCTCTGTACACAGCAAGAGCTCTTTTGTATCCCAAGTGAAGGTTAAACAGCAAAGTTAAACTTCTCTCAACCCGGACAAAAACAGCCAGTGTCCTTGGATAGTATTGCCTCCTGGTGGGAACAGAAACTCCACATTACCTGGGAGTCTTTATATTTTGTCCTAGTTTACCTGCTGATGCAAAGAACCTTGCAGTAGAAACCAGCATTACCTTTCTCTGTTTACATTCATGTGTTCAGCAGCCCTGAGCTTTGGCGACTTAGCACCTAATTTTATATATTTCCTTAGGTCTTTGAAACACAGTATTGCCAGTACCTTTTACATTTAAAAAATGTTTCCAGGCTTGATTTAATTACAAAATACAAAGAAAAAAAAATGTAGAAGGGGACAAGCTGATCAGTAGCTAGAAGCCTGAATTAAAATTTTCTATTTAGAGGCAGCAGAAGGAATTTGTAGTGTTATCGACCAGGATATTTAATGTGCAGCAGCTTCAGCCCAGGAAAAATAAGGCAAAATTGCTGTGCATGGAAAAACAATTACTGTAATCATACTGCATCGCTAAAGCGCCAGATCGATTTTTCATTAAAAAAAAAAACCCTTATTTTTTTTCAGTTGAACTTCTCCAGTTTTAAAACTTTCAAAGAAAGGGGAGCAAGATGCAGAAAAAGAGGCTGAAGCGGGAGCTTATGGGTTCAAGCCTTGGACAGGGGTCTCAAGCATCTGGAAAGGCAATCCAGACGTTAAATCCAGATGTTAAATCCAGACGTTAAATCCAAAAGGGAAAACATGAGAGGCACTTATTTGCGCCCAGACAGGAGGTTCATAGCAGTGCCAGTCTGAGTGGCTTGGAGTCAGAGGGAACTTGCCAGTACCCCCACATGCGCACCCACCCATCCAAAGCACAGTGGGGAATACACAGGAACTTTCAGGGCATGGTGAGAAACCACACTCAAGGTATACAATAGAGAGTACCTCTCAAGGCGAACACAGTAGGGAAACAGATTCTGGCTTCAGTTATAGGGCCAGAAGCTTGAACAACAGGAAGATTCCCTTTTCCCAGGCTTAGAGAAAGGGCGGGGGAATCCAGGTCATGGTATGCTCCCTGATTGGCCAAGGGGGAGACATAGGGAGTTCGTAGGTCCTGGGAAGGTCTCCAGATCCGGAAAGGAGAGGAGGCAGCTGAGCAGAGACGGGTTTGTTCATGACTATTACCTTATCAAGCTGGGGGTTTTGAACAAGAAGTTCTAACTAGCTTGTATAGGGTTTGTGTATTCCGATTAGCTTGTATAGGTTTCTTGTGATCGAATAACTTTTTAAAGCTGTGAATGCTAACATGAGTCTAGGTCCTTGCCAACAGAAATGTTAAAGCAGCAGATTATGGTTTTTACCTAAATGTTCAGTGTTGCCCTTTGGCCCTGGGACCGCAGCTAGCATAATACGAGTTTCCTTTCCACTGTATGGAGATTCTCTTACAACCTGGTGAAAGTGATACTAAAATCCAGCCAGATGGGAGCAGTTTCAAGGTATCTGCTCAGAGCCTGCCGTGCCTTGACTTGGGTTGCTACAGCCAAGACAAGCCGGGAGGGCACTGCATTAAATGTGATCTTTATTCTTAGCCGACTGTTCTATTTTTTAGGTGTCCTAGAGTATGAGGTTTCAATGCGTCAGGTTCTTCAAGGAAAGTCCGTTCCTCACTACGCAGCCATAGAACCCAGCGGTGACGGTCTGATGGTTATCTCTTACAAGCCCTTCACGTTTATAAAGCAGAACTGTGAGGACAAAGACGAGGAAAGCAAAAGGAAGGCGGAGGAAGAAAAAAAGAAAGGTAACCCTGGTTTCCTGATCTCAGATATTTTATATATATTTAACTTGTAGCCCATCTCGTCTTAAAGGTTCATTAAAACATTGGCCTCCTACTGACCTATCAGGCCAGCGGCAGCCCACTGAGATGCATCTTGCGCTGCTTCTGGAAGAGGTGCCAGTTCTGACCTTTCGCGTATCTCCAGGGCAGCATTTCCTGCTGTTGAAAGGCAGCTGCTGCCTGTAATTCTGTGTGTTCTGGTAACTCTAAGACAATGCAAGAGGGGTTGTTGAGAGCGATCATCATGGAACAGAAGGGGGTGTGCTGTCTCAAGTATGTCAGGGCCACCAACAGCTGTTCGTACAGGCTGCCTTCAGATGGGATAGGCTGCCACTGTAAATGCTGGAGCACAAATGCAGTGAGTTGTCGCTGTCACGTGTACGCCATCTTTCTCCCCAGTGGGGACCCAAAGTGGCTTTCATCATTCTCCTCTCCTCCATTTTACCCTCACAACAACCCCATGAGGTAGGTTAGGCTGAGAGCGTTTGACTGGCCCAAGGTCCCCCAGCGAGCTTTCATGGCATGAATGGAGATTCAGACCTGGGTCTTCCAGATATTAGTTTGACCCTGTTTACTGCTACACCACATTTGTACTGGGAGGCCATCTAGTCCAACCCCCGGCTCCATGCGGGATCAGCCTAGAGCATCCCTGACAAGTGTTTGTCCAGACGCTGCTTGAAGACTGCCAGGGAGGGGGAGCTCACCACCTCCTTAGGCAGCTGATTCCACGGTTGCACAACTCTTCCTGTCAAAACGTTTTCCCTAAGATCCGGGCGGTACCTTCCCACCCTTCATTTAAACCCAGTCTTGCGAGTCCTCTCCTTTGCTGCCAACAGGAACAGCTCCCTGCCCTCCCCTAAGGGACAGCCCTTTGGTGTAGTCAGTTTGGTGTCGTGGTTAAGAGTGTGGACTCTAATCTGGGAGAGCTGGGTTTGATTCCCCACTCCTCCACTTACAGCTGCCGGTGAGACCTTGGGTCAGTCACAAGTTCTCTCAGAGCTGTTCACTCAAGAGCAGTCCTCGAAATACCTCTGTCAGCCCCACCTGCCTCACAGGGTGTCTGT